AGCGAGTAACACTTTCTCTTTTTCATCATTCAACTAAAGATTCCACACGCCACAATGAAGATTAAAGATCCCATTTCCACAACTAAGACCCAGCAAAATAAATAAAGACAAATATATTTTTTTAAAGCCTGAAAGAAGTCAGAGGAAAAAGACACTTTACCTACTGAGGAGCAAAAATAAGCCTGACATCCAGCTTCTCCTCAGAAGCCATGCAAGTAACAAGAGTCGGAAATATTTTAAGTAGTGAGAGAAAAAACGTACCAACCTAGAAATTTGTATCCTGCAAAATTACCCTTCAAAAGTGAAGGCAAAATAAAGACTTTCCAGACAAACAAAAATTGAGGAAACCTGTTACCAGTAGATCTACCTTGCAAGAAAGGTTAAACGTTCTTTTAAGACAAGGAAAATTATATAGGTCAGAAACTGAGATCTATATAAAGAAAGGAAGAGTGTGTGTGTGTGTGTGTGTGTGTGTGTGTGTGCACGCGCGTGCTCATCTTTGTATGATTGCCTCTATGTTTTTCCCAGCAAAAAGTTCACATATATCCTGGCTTCTCCCTTACCTCTTTGGAGAAGTACTTCAGAGCTTTCTGAGAGATCATCTCCCATGCTATAGTCCTTAGTAAGCTCCAGGAATAAAACTGAACTGGTAACTCTTACGTCGTGCATTTTTCTTTCTAAGTTGACAGTGCTGAGTTGTGGGGACCTGGGAGGAGGGAGTTGAGGCTCAGCTGCCAGGCAGTGCCCGCACAAATGCAGGAACTATGGATGGGGAGGACCAGGTTGGGGTGAGGCAAATTCAGCCCGAGGCTCAGGGGTGACGGGAGGCAGGCATGTAGGGGAGCGGAGCGGTTTCGGGGTTGTGGAAAACACGCTGGTGTGCGGATGTGAGGAATGAGAGGGCCTTTCCCCTCTAGGTAGCTGGGAGAAGTGGGACAGGAACTGGGCCTCCAGGAGACTAGCTAAGAGGCTCCAGGTCGGGGCTGGGCCGCCAGGGGGCACACGCAAACTGAGCCAGGCTGCGGGCGAGAGGCCGGGCCGGCAGGCGGGGGGCGAGTCAGGGGGCGGGGCCTGGAGCCCTGGGAGCCCCAGCCCTGGCAGAGTGCGGTCCGCGGAGGACCCGATCTGTGCTTTCCTCAACGCTCCGCAGCCAAAGCCCGCATGCTAAGGCGGTGACCCCCACCCCCAGCTCCCTTCTCTGCAGCTGCCTCCGCCTCTAGACAAAACTCTCCTTTTTCTCATGACAAAAACAGAATTTTGGTATGGGAAAACACCTACCAGCTTCTGGACCTTTCTGGGCAGAGTTCTTCTGGGGTTTATTACGGAGAGGGATGGAGGAGGAAATGGCAACCCACTCCAGTATTCTTGCCTGGAGAATCCCACGGACAGAGGAGCCTGGCCAGCTACAGTCCATAGCGTCTCAAAGAGTTGAGTTTTAGGCCAGCTTTTTATTTATTTATTTATTTTATTTTATTTATTTATTTTTTTTTCATTTATTTTTATTAGTTGGAGGCTAATTACTTTACATCATTGCAGTGGTTTTTGTCATACATTGAGATGAATTAGCCATGGATTTACATGTATTCTCCATCCCAGTCCCCCCTCCCACCTCCCTCTCCACCCGATCCCTCTGGGTCTTCCCAGTGCACCAGGCCCGAGCACTTGTCTCATGCACCCAACCTGGGCTGGTGATCTGTTTCACCCTAGATAATATACGTGTTTCGATGCTGTTCTCTTGAAACATCCCACCCTCGCCTTCTCCCAGAGTCCACAGGTCTGTTCAGAGTGAAGTAAGCCAGAAAGATAAAGACCATTACACTATACTAACACATATATGGAATTTAGAAAGATGGTAAAGATAACCCTATGTGCAAAACAGAAAAAGAGACTCCGATGTATAGAACAGACTTGTAGGCCAGCTTTTTAACTCTCCTCTTTCACCTTAATCAGGAGGCTATGTGTAGCATCCCACAAATATGTTCTGCAAGTTTGCCTGCCTGCCTCTCTGGCCGGGACTTGGTCACTGTTCTGCAGGGCACTGGGAATCCAAGAGCAAAGACCTCAGCCCAGGAGTGTGTGATGGGCTCCCACTCTAAGGAATCAGGGTGGGAGATGGGCGAGGCCACCGCACAGGCGGTACCTGATGTCAGGTCACTTCCAGGCCAGCTGATCAGGGCTCTAGATGGAGCGCAGGGAGAGACCACCCCCACCGCGCCCCCATCCACCAGGAGAAACAAGGAGGACATGGCAGTTGGACTGTCTTGAAGGTCAGCAAATCAGAGTGAAGAGGAGAACAGAGAAATGAGCTCGAGCCAAAATGGCTTGGAAGACTATGGTCAGATCTTCCAACTTCATCTTAAATGAGCCAAGGAGAGGTTTAGAGTCAATTCTTTTTAAAGTGTGTGACACATCTGTGTGTGAGTGTGCATTATTTAAAGGCCAGAATGAAGCATTAGCACTGAGAATGTTCTTTAGCAAACCATCTCAGGAGAGTTGGATGAAATAGTCCAAAACATTCTTGTATCCTGCACCTTCATTTCAAAAGATGATTTGTAATATTTTCACTGAGCTACACAACCACATTAACCTTGCTGTATAAACACCTCCAAAGTGTACTGTTTTCAGTCACTGCTCCCTTCTATTTTTCCTGAACTGCTTTCTCTTACTCCAGTTCTTAATTAGGACTTTTTTGCTGCTGCAAGAGTACTCCCTTGAGTAACTATGTCTTCAAAAAGACGCATCCTTTCTGAGTTTTTGCAACTCTAAAAAAAAAAATGTCTTTTTGTTGGCTTTATTAAAGACAGCAGTTTGGCCAGGCAGAGAATATTAATACTTAGGTCACAAAGTTTCCTCCCAGAGCTTTATATAACTTCTCAACTTCTGTTAACTTAATGGATCATAAAATCCTGCAGTCAAAAAAAATTTAAGCCACCTGAATATGCAGGCACCCAAGACTAGTTAAATCCATCAGGGGGCAACCAGTCAATGGAATACTCTCCAAAAAAAAGAACAAGGGGATACATGTATATGTATGGCTGAGTCCTTCAGTGTTCACCTGACTCTATCACAACATTGTTAATCAGCTATCAGCTCAGTTCAGTCGCTCAGTCGTTCCTGACTCTTTGTGACCCCATGGACTGCAGCACCCCAGACCTCCCTGTCCATCACCAACTCCTGGAGTTTACTCAGATTCATGTCCATCAAGTCGGTGATGCCATCCAACCACCTCATCCTCTGTCATCCCCTTCTCTTCCCCCCCTCATCCTTTCCCAGCATCAGGGTCTTTTCAAATGAGTCAGTTCTTCGTATCAGGTGGCCAAAGTATTGGGGTTTCATCTTCATCATCAGTCCTTCCAACGAATATTCAGGACTGATTTCCTTTAGGATGGACTGGTTGGATCTCCTTGCAGTCCAAGGGACTCTCAAGAATCTTCTCCAACACCACAGTTCAAAAGCATCAATTCTTCGGTGCTCAGCTTTCTTTATAGTCCAACTCTCTAATCAGCTATACCCCAATACAAAATAAAAGGTTTAAAAAAAAAGTACAAGAAAGCTGTTTATTAATACAGAAAGAAAAATTTTTAAACCAATTGCAGAAGAGGTCTAAGGTATCCTTCCATTTATGTTAAAACAAAAAAGGGAAGGATCAGAATACACTTGTGGGTATGTGCATAAAATACCTCTTACATGATACAGAAGGAACTAGAAACATTTGTTGTCTCTGTAGAGGAAAAAGGGTAGTTGGGGAGGCAGGGGTGCTACAGAGACTGCTAACTGGAAAAAAAATCAAAGAAAACACTTTTCATGTCTATTGAATTTGATCTTGGAGATATTCTACAGACAACAGAAGTAAAACGCAACTCCTATGACCTTCTCTAATTTTACTTAAAAATCAGAATAACTATCACAAATAAGTTAAACAAAGCACTGGTATACCCTGTGCTTTCTTGTCAAGCAGACTTCCCCATGGAGATCCCAATGCACCCTTGCAGGGGGCTGCTGACTAAGGTAGTCAGCCATTCAACAGATCCAATTGTGGACTTGGCTCCAAGATCCTCTGACAGTTGCAGAAACCTCCACCTCAATTTGATCCCAGGCTTTTCCATCTGTCTGGGGACAGCATTGCTCCTGTTCATGCAGTTCAGGCATTGGCCCCCTGTAGATTATATGTCCCTCCAATCTTGCATTGAACTTGACCATCTCTTTACACATGAGCACTCCATTCTTTCTTCACCCCAGAGACACTTCCTTATTTCCTTCTCTATTTCCCGCACCTGATCCCCACCCCACCCCCAACACCTCTTATATATGTAGGGTTGACCAGAAAGTTCCTCCAGCTTTTTCTGTAACTTTTTATGGAAAAACCCAAACAAACTTTCTGGCCAACCCAACGTACTGACTTTTCTGCCTCTCCCCTGCATTCCTCCTTACTTTTCTCTCATATTTATTGTTCCTTTATACTTTTTCTCAGAGAATCCCCTGTGCTTATTTTCTAATTTTGTTTCAGTTCTCTGATCTGATTTTTAAAACCTCCGTGGAGGATTTTGGCTTTGAAAATCCTCTTTTTCACCCCCAAGAGTTCTCCCTGTTCTGTTCACAGATTATTTCCTCTTCCCAGCCAACAGCCTTCTTTTCTAGCAATGCATTGTCTCTCAACTATCACTTAGAATACACGGTCGTGTTGTTGGGTTTTTATTCCTACATTCTATTGTTATTTTCTGTTGCTTCTAGTGCTGTTTCATGGGTGACGGGGCTCCTTCAGTCCTCCGAGGGCATGCACTTGGGAGTGTCCCATGGGGACATTTGAGGGGCTCAGGCAGAGTCCCACAGGGTCTGGGTTGAGTCGGGTCCTCTTCCCAGGATGGTTTCCGGAGCTCTCCGGCCTCTCCTCCAGCTGCCGCACTGCAGGCGCCTGGTCCCCTAGGTCCCCTTCCTGCTCTTGCGCTCTCACCCACGGTTGGGAGCAAGCCACAGCCCCTCCCCTTGGGGGCGGTCCTTACCTTGGAGAGGGGCTCCTGGTCACCCCATGACACCTTCTGGGCCATCCAGGGCATCCAAAGAGAATCGGGCGGTGGCGATTCATCGCCTATGGCCAGGGGGTTAAGCGTGGGCAGCAGCCGGCCGCGCCGCGCCTGCAAGAGCGACAGCCTGAAGCGGCCACAGGCCCTGACCACGTCTACCCAGGGCAGCTTGCTGGGCCGGCGATCCATAACGTCGCGGATGTGGAGCAAGGAGAGCGGCAAGTTGCTTTTCTGGGGCGTCTCCTTCCCATCCTTGCTGGGGTTTTTTGAGGAGCCGGGGGTACCCGGGGACTGGGAGGCCATCTCGGAGCCTGGCCTGGCCACGAACGGTGGCGCCACGCGCCCCTGCCCCCACCTTGGGGCCCACGCGCCCTCCCTGAGCCCGGCGATCTCACGGCCTCCTCTCGCCCCGCAGTATGGTTACTCCCAGCAAAATGGGCTTCGAGTTTCTGGGCGCAAGAGGAATGAGGCCAAATGTATGAAACCGCTCGTAGGGGCTCCTGGCCAACCTACTTCACGTTAACACAACAGAGAAATGACCCATAAATTATAGAATGTACCCTGGATTAATGAAGACGCAGCTGGTAGGGGTGGGTACACACACTATATAAGGGCATGAAGGAAGTATCTGTCATAATGCTGGTGAAAAACCAACGAATAAAATGTCACCACTCGTCCTGGAGCAGACTCAGTGCTAGAAAATGACTGTGAAATTAAAACAAAAGAGCAAGGGTTGTCATCTCTGGGGTGTAGAAGAAGTGCCTTTCTTCTTTCATTTTTTACAATTGTTCTAATCATTCTATGATGTTACTTTGATAATGGGAAAAAAAAAACTCTTCACTCTACTTTTTCATTTTTTAAAAATATTTACTTGGCTAGTTTTGGCTGCATCAGGTCTTAGTTGCCCCACAGTACTGGGATCTTAGTTCCCTGACCAGGGATCAAACCCATGTTCCCTGCATTGGAAGGCAGATTCTCAACCACTGGACTAGAAGGGAAGTACCCCCTTCTCTGTTCTCTTTTAAGTTTGTTTTGTTTTGTTTTTAACATGGACCATTATTTTAAAGTCTTTATTGAATTTGTTACAATACTGCTTTTTCTTTATAATGTTTTCTGGTCATGAGGCATGTGGGATTTTGGCTCCCTGCCCAGGAATCGAACCCACACCCCCTTATGTTAGAAGGCTAAGTCTTAACCACTGGATGGCCAGGGAAGTCCCCTGCCCGCTCCTTTTCCCAAAGTCTCATCAGGGCAGATGAGACGGCCTCAGAGCAGGGATCCAGGGCTACAGTGAAAACACCTGGAGCCTGTGTGATCCCGGATGTGGGCACACACTCTTCCACTCTTGGTCCCAGTGCCTTCCTCAGATACTTCGGTGGCTTCTTCCTCAAGAGGCTGAGGCCGCCTGCCCGGATCCTGGGGCTGTGCTGCCCACTGAGCTCCTGGCTCCCAGCACCACCCATGGGAGGAGAGGAACCACACCCCCCAGGAAAATAACAAGAATGGGAAAGCAACCACCCCGCTCCCATACAATTCCTTAAGTAAGTCAGACTGTCCTTATCTGAACCTAGCTTTCTTTACCACAAAACCAGAGAAAAGCCTTCACTTTTCATTTCTTTTTTAAAAGTTTCAGGGAATGAAAAATCAAGAAGAAAATAGAAAAATGCCATTTTAATTACTGTACAGTCTGAATTTCTTCCTCTGACACTAACAGAAGTTAAAAATAGAAATCAATTTCAGCAAACTTCCAAGGCAGGCTTTGAAATGTCAAGGTTTAAAAAAAAAATTATTTCACAGCATGAATTTACATATAAATACAATCTGTACAATGTATTAACTGAGTGATCAATGAACTTCCATCCTGGAGGAGATCTGGTATTGGGACAGGCAGGGGCAGAATTCAATTACTGTCTCCTTAGTGGAAGACGCTTCAGCCTGGAAGAGGAAATAAAAGAGAGAGAGTTAGATACAAACAGAAGAACTAGCTGGTTCAGTGGGGGAGGAATATGAAAATGCCAGGCCTTTCCCTGAATCAAAGTGGCACAAAATACAGAGAGTGACCCACACCATGAAAGAAAGCAGCATTTAATCTGCACTCTTTAAGATTCTGTTCCCCCCAAAACACACAGAGAGACCCACTCCATCTCTTGTTAAGTAAGACCCATTTATAAAAGCAAGTTATAATCCTGGTTTCACTTACCTATCTCATGTATGACCCTTGGGAGGGAACTAAAAAAACAAAAAACCATGCCTGCTCTGGGGCCAGAAGCTCCTGAGCTGCCAGTCTTAAACTCAGCTTTGAGCGCACAAGAATGTTCACGGCAGCTCTAACTCAGCAAGCAGAGCTGGGTCACCCTGACTCTAGATCCTTGCTCTACAGGCCCAGACTGGAACGCCGAAGGCCCCCAACAGCAGGAAACAAAGATACTCTGCAGTGTATCCTATTAAGGAATACTCCACGGCAATGAGGACGAACCAGTCGTTACTAGGACAATACGGAGGAATCTCACAGGCCAGATGCAAGAGCTCCTAGTACACAGGTCCCTTAAATAAATCTCAAACACAAGCAAGAGTAGTCAGTGACGACAGAAGCCAGAATGGCTGCCTTTGGGGCTAGGGGTGGGGATCGTAAGTGAGCGGGGGTTTCTGGAGTGCTGGTTTAGTGCTTGATCTAGGTGAATTCAGCTAGTGAGAATGCATGAACGATGAGCCTATGATGTGAGTGCACTAAAGAGGGTACTCCACTGTATGATTCCAGGTCTGTGAAATTCCAGAATGGGCAAAGCTAACTTAGATGGACAAGACACAGATCAGTGTCTCCTGGGGAAGAGGATGGGGTTGGGTACGGGGAGAGGGGGGCAGACCTCAATGCCATGTAGAACTAGGCCGTACCATCACTGAAGAAATGCACAGGGGCCCTTGACAAGAGTGAGACCTCAGCCAGGTGCTGGGGATGCAAGTAAGACCCATGTGGTTGTGACCCTCAAAATGCCTCTTGCAGGAGGGACTTCCCTGGTGGTCCAGTGGTTAAGAACCGGCCTTGCAATGCAGGGGATGTGGGTTCGATCCCTGGGTGCAGGAACTAAGATCCCATGTGCTGCAGAGCAACGAAGCCCCAGTGCCACAACCAGAGAGTCCGTGTGCTGCAACGAGAGGTCCCGCAGGCTGCAACTAAGACCCGACGCAGCCAAACAAACAAAAAGTAAATGGAGAAAAAAAGCACCCCTTGCAGGAGACAGATGCAGACAGGTAATATACAGAGTGGAGTGAGGCACAAAAGATGGACAGGCCCCCTGTCTCTCTGTGGACAGTCTAGGAGGCTTAGGGTTGAGGGGATGTGGCAACTATACCTTTAACAACCACGAGAGTAAGATTTAAATACACTTCACACCTCTGCCCCTGCCTTCCCCCCATCCCAGGCCCTGCCTCAGCGGTAAGTGCTCTCAGGAGTGTAAGAACCCCTCCAGTCCTCTTCTCTTCAAAGATGTACATGGGGAAATCCAAAGGAGTGAGGATGATAGTACCAACTTTATACACTATTCCGTAGCTTTTGGCCTCTTATTGTTAGGATTCAGAGGCCAATCAGCAAGCAGCCCATGTTTTCTGACCGCTATGCTCAGCACACTCCACCACACCCTCCGGAAGGGCACCAAGGGGCTTCCACGTGTGCAAGTGCCTCCCTGCAGGAATGACTCATTACGTGGCTCCAAACAGTCAAGGGTGATGATATAAGGTGTTGGTAACAGCCTCTCTGGGCCTTGCTTTCCCTGCCTGTGAACTGAGGGGACACGAGTCACAGGGTGTGTGGGGATTAAAGGAGCCCACACCCATGTGGGTGCCTCACAGTGCCCGGCCCATCAAATCAGCACTGGCACGTGCCCTGAGAAAAGGCAGACGTGAAACAGCACAGCCGCTTCAGGGGGCTCTGGATTAAACTGAAATGCTCATATCTTTGTGTGTTTGAACCATGAGAATGTCCTGTCTACTGGGAAGACATAAATGAAAAAGAACATGGGGCTGGCACTTGTCTTTCCAGAGAGCAAAATAACTATAAGGCCATAGTAATTAAAACGGAGTGGACGGGCTTCCCTGGTGGTCCAGTGGTTAAGATCTGCCTTGCAGGGGACACCAGTTCGACCCCTGGTCCAGGAAGATCCCACATGCCTCGGATCAACTAAGCCCGTACACCACAACTACTGAGCCCGTGCTCTAGAGCCTGGGAACCACGACTGCTGAGCCTATGCTCCCTAGAACCCATGCTCCAGAGAAAAGAAGCCTGTTTTGTCCTTCTTCTTCCTGGGCCCACAGCTGGACTTCCCCTACCCAGTCCTGTGGTGGACAGCAGTGTCGTCAAGCTGCCCTGGGCTATGGGCTGGGAAGGAAGAGAAGCCAGGATGTGCAAGAAGGGCCAAAACAATCTCTAGAACCATTCCCCTCCTCTGAGGGTCACATGCTACAGTGGAACAGACAGGGATCCTGAGTAACTTTCTCAGTTCCATTTATGCTTCATTGGCTGGGCCCCTGGGGTTCAGGGGTTCTTTTAAATCATAGCTCGTTTACTCACTCTCATTAATATTTACAACTGGCCATCTATCTGGAGAAAGTTAAGTTGGATGCCTATACTGCTCTGTTTACAAAAAAAGGAAAATAAAACAACTCAAATAAACTAAATGAAAACAAAACTGAAAAAGCATGAGGATAGTCTACATATATATACAAAATCTTATATTAGGGAAGGCCTTTAAAAGACAAAATGTAAAACACACCACCACCAACAACAAAAAAAAACTAGTAAAATTGAGTGTACCAAAAATTAAAGCTTCTGTTCAACAAAAGTCATATAACAGGTAACACTCTAGAACAAAAAGGATGACTATCCAGAATAATTTTTTAGTTTCTAAAAAAGTTTTTAAAAATTTTTCAATGTTTAAAAGAAAAGGGTTAGGGGGATACTTCTCTGGCGCTCCAGTGGTTAAGACTCTCTGCTTCCACTGCAAGAGTCACAGGTTTGCTAATACCAGACCACCTGACCTGCCTCCTAAGAAATCTGCATGCAGGTCAAGAAGCAACAGTTAGTACTGGACATGGAACAACAGACTGGTTCCAAATCAGGAAAGGAGTAAAGAGTATGTCAAGGCTGTATACTGTCACTCTGCTTATTTAACTTATATGCAGAGTACATCATGAAAAATGCTGGACTGGATGAAGCACAAGCTGTAATCAAGATTGCCAAGAGAAATATTAATAACCTCAGATATGCAGATGACACCACTCTTATGGCAGAAAGTGAAGAAGAACTAAAGAGCCTCTTGATGAAAGTGAAAGAGGAGAGTGAAAAAGCTGGCTTAAAACTCAACATTCAAAAAACTAAGATCATGGCATCTGGTCCCATCACTTCATGGGAAATAGATGGGGAAACAGTAGAAACAGTGACAGACTTTATTTTTGGGGGCTCCAAAATCACTGCAGATGGTGATTGCAGCCATGAAATTAAAAGATGCTTGCTCCTTGGAAGAAAAGTTATGACCAACCTAGACAGCTTATTAAAAAACAGACATTACTTTGCCAACAAAGGTCCATCTGGTCAGAGCTATGGTTTTTCCAGTGGTCATGTATGGATGTGAGAGTTGGACTATAAAGAAAGCTGAGTGCCGAAGAATTGATGCTTTTGAACTGTGGTGTTGGAGAAGACTCTCCAGAGTCCCTTGGACTGCAAGGAGATCCAACTAGTCCATCCTAAAGGAGATCAGTCCTGAATATTCATTGGAAGGACTGATGATGAAGCTGAAACTCCAATACTTTGGCCGCCTGATGGGAAGAACTGACTCATTGGAAAAGACCCTGATGCTGGGAAAGAGTGAAGGCGGGAGGAGAAGGAGACGACAGAAGATGAGATGGTTGGATGGCATCACCGACTCAATGGACATGAGTTTGAGTAAGCTCTGGGAGTTGGTGATGGACAGCGAGGCCTGGTGTGCTGCAGTCCATGGGGTCACAAAGAGTCGGACATGACTCAGCAACTGAACTGAGCTGAAATGAACTGAACAGGGAACTAAGATACTACCTGAATGCTTCACAGTGTGGGCCAAAAAAATTTTTTTGTAATTTTTTAAAATAATAATTCCTAAACATCAGTAACACAGTACCTAAAAACCAGAAAAACAATCTAACAGAGGACAGAACATTGTGAAATGTTCTGTGAAATGTTCAGGAGCACGTTATTCACAAAGGAGCCCACAGCAAATGCTGAGACACAAAGCAAAGGATACTCAGCCTCGTTACTGACCCAGGAAACGCGATGAAGAAGACATGCCATTCTTCACCCATCAGGCTGGCAAACATCTCCACGCTGTCTGTAGCTGATGTAACAACAAGGTACTTTCACAATTCAAATGGATAGAGCCACTTTTGACAACAGTTTGGTGGTATTTATTCCTTCCAAGTGTTCATTCCTATAGATTTATGTTAAAAATGTGAAACAAAATGTGTGTGTACCTCTGTGTGTGTGTAGTTGTGTAAAAAAGTCTCA